TCCTTTTAGTTACAGTTCCATTCCTTAGTTCCAGGCAGTCTCCTCCATTTTTCCAGATCCTGCCCTTTTATTCTTTTTTTTTCTCCTTTCCTGCTTTTAAAAACTTTTAAATATCCAGAAATCTTTATTATCCCTTTGACTTTTATTTTCAGCTGAGATGCCTATTAATGTCAAAGTGGATTTTTTTTCAATTTCTTGCTTAAGTCTCTTGGCTGTCAGGATAAGGAAGGGAAGAAAAAAAACCTAATCCTTTCCCTTCTCTCTCTCCTTCGCAGCTTCAAAATCTTCTTTGGGAACAATGTTATTTAATTAAATTCCAGGGTACCTTACGTTGTTGCTTTTTCGGTTTAACCCGGTCGACCAAAACTTTCTCTTCTTATCTTCCTCCTGCACATTCTTTTCCGGTTCAGTTCTTCTCTGAGGTGGCCATTTCTGACCACCGCTGCAACTGCCTTCGGAAAAGGGAGTAAAGGCCAGCTGGGGAAGAGAGATGCGGCTCTCCTCGACCCTGCTGGCAGTCTCCCCCTTCTTCACCACCTCTACGGGGTGGCTTAGCCCCAAAACCAGCCAGCTCGGGGTGCTCTGGCGGCGACCACGGATCGAAACTGTGCACGATCGCGGATTTCGGTCTGTCGCCAAAGAGACTCAAACCGGAATGCCAGCTGGGTCTTCTTTTGTCGCCCTGCACAGGAGAATGGAACTGGAAAGCAGGTTAGCAGGGTGGGGAGGGAATGGAGATTTTGCAGTAACCTTCCCCTGCCATGCCCACCAAACCACGCCCACCAAGCCACACCATGCCCACAGAACCAGTAGTAAAAAGTTTGAATCCCACCACTGATTTGGAGACTTTCAAAGTGGTCCTGACTGAGTGGAAACAATGACTGACAAGGGAAACTCCATTTTATATGCATTAATAAACCGATCTTGCAGGGGAAAAAAGTAATTATGGACTTGTAAAACAATTTTCATTTACAAGAATGTTCCTGGTTCACACATTAGTCTCATAAGCATTCTTTGAAATAGAAATGGGGAGAAGGAGAACTAGGATGTTAGTTTTCTGGCCCAGGTCTATACTGACTTGTATCATGGTTGGGTTTTTTCTTTTTTAAATCTGAATTACTACAATTATTTCTTTTAAAACAAAGCATTCAAGTTAGCCTATTACATAACATCAATGTATATATAATACATGCGCCAAAAAGGAAGCCATAAATATGTTATCAACTCTGTCATTATTTATGGTGTTCAATATATCAAGGTATTTACAGTATGTGGGTATTAATGACATTAAGAGGTGGTAGTGATAAAGATGATGAGACTTTTTGTATTAAGGGCCTGTTTCTACCTCTGCCTCCACCCCCAAATATAGTTTATAAATCCTGTCTTTTGAACACGAGTACTCTAAAGCATGAAAAGTGTATGTGTATACAAGTATATATCCCAGGGTACTTTGAAAAAGTACTATAATTTTTAAAAACTTTTTCTAACTTGGCTTTTCCAAAAGTTAGAATACCGTTCTGAGGTAGTGCTCTATTAAGCAGATACATGTTCTTCTTCTGTTTCTGTACTAAAAAAGCACTTCTTAGGCCTTGAGTTCTGTCTGAAAGATTAAAAGATATATCAAGAAACTCCTTTTATATTCCATGTAATTCAGTATTTGTTCTTGGGAAATGGGAATGGTTCGCCCAGATATTAGGTAAGGAATCTTTTAGCCCAACTTATAAGCATGAGGAATTTGGGTCTCTGTAATACAAGGATGTGTGCTGTCAATGAACTGTGGCATTTCTTTTGCAATGATACTTATTATAATATAAGCCATGGTAAATCTGCTTCAGGTCAAGCTTAAATTCTTAGAGACTCTCTCACACTGTTTAGGTTTCTAAAACAAACCATAGGAACCGGCTCTTCAACCATATAATAAATAGCTGAAATTCTGCCTCTGTACACCTTTGAAGCAATACAATTTGTGACACTAGTTCGAGAAGTAAATTTTCAATACAGGTAGCCCCTGAATTACAACCACAATTGAGCACAAAATTTCTGTTGCTAAGCCAGACATTTGTTAAGTGAATTTTGCCCCATTTTATGTCCTTTCTAGACACTGATTAAGTGAATCACTGCAGTTGTTAAGCTAGTAATATGGCTTTTAAGTTAACCTTGCTTCCCCATTGACTTTACTTATCAGAAGGTTGCAAAAGATGATCACATGAACCCAGAACACTGCAACCATCACAAATATGAATCCATTGCTAAGTGTATGAATTTTGATCGTGTGACCAGAGGTGATATTCAGCAGGTTCTGACAGTACTGGAGAACCGGTAGTGGAAATTTTGAGTAGTTTGGAGAACTGGCAAATACCACCTCTGACTGGCCCCGCCCCCATCTATTCTCTGCCTCCCGAGTCCCAGCTGATTGGCTGGGTCTTCTTTTCTTGCCCTGTGCAGGAGAACGGAGCTGGAAAGCAGGTTAATGGGGTGAGGAGGGAATGGGGATTTTGCAGTAACTTTCCCCCAGGAGTGGGGAGGAAATGTAGATTTTGTAGTATTCTTCCCCTGCCACGCCCACCAAGCCACGTCCACAGACCTGGTGGTAAAAAAATTTGAATCCCATCACTGATGTGACTACAAGGATGTTACAATGGTCATAAGTGTGAAAAATAGCAATAGCAATGGCAATAGCAGTTAGACATATATTGCTTCATAGTTCTTTACACCCTCTCTAAGCAGTTTACAGAGTCATAAGTCACTTTTTTCAGTGCCCTTGTAACTTTGAATGGTCACTAAATGAACTGTTGCCAGTTGAGGATTACCTAGTTTAGTCTGTCATAGATTAAAAGATCTGAATGTTGTGTTAATTTTGCCCATTTTGATTAAGTTAAAGCAATTTTATTAGTTACACAGTATAAAATTTGATAAGTCTGAAGTCTTTTAGCAAACAAAACAAAAGATATAGGAACAGCAAAATATGCTTTGGCTCTATTACTGGTTTTTTTTTTTTTCATGTAAATGGCACTTCACACAAATTTAAGATAATAATGCATTTTATTAGCCTTTAAGGTGTCACCCATTTTGTTGGTTTGGGCTGCAAAACACCAAATGTGACCACTTTTCTGGAACCCTTTAAAAGGGAGCAGAAGTAGCTCAGACTCCAAGCTGATGATAAAAGCATTGCAGTCCACTATATTTGGAGGGCACCAGAAATTTTATATATAAAATTCTCCTCTCCTCTTAAGCATATTTTGGGAGCATTGTCATATTACAGGTAGTCCTTCACTTATAACATTTATTTAGTGGCCATTTAAAGTTACAATGGCACTGAAAAAAGTGACTTTGAATTTGAATTTTTTATTGTCATTGAACGTATATTTACAGTATACATACAACAAAATTCACATAACACCCAGAGACCAGACCCAATACACACACGTACATGACAATCCCCCAAAATCCCCCCGCCCCCTAAAAACAAGCATCCACACAACAGACCAAGTAATACTGTCCAACAGCTCACTGATGGTGGTCCTTAAGTTCATTGTTAAGTGCAATTATAGCTCTGGGATAAAAACTGTTCAGAAAACGTGTGGTCCGAGTATTAATTGTTCTGTATCTTCTGTGAGTTCACAAAGATTGTAATGGGAAGATGGGAAGAGTCTCTGAGAATTACCATCGGCTTTCATGCTTATGACCATTGCAGCATCCCCACAATTACGGTACATGACCTAAATTCGGATGCTTGGCAACTGTCATGTATTTATGACATTGGTACTGTACCGGGGTCATGTGATCCCCCATTTGTAATCTTCCTAGCTGGCTTCTGTCAACCAAAATCAATGGGGGAAGCCACATTTGCTTAATAACTGCATTTATTCACTTAACAACTGCAGTAATTCTCTTAACAACTGTGGCAGGGAAGATAATAAAATGGGACAAAACTCACTTAACAATGGTCTTCCTTAGCAACACAAATTTTGGGCTCAGTTTGATGACCACCTCTGTATCTATCTGTATAAGTAAATTGACCACCAAATAACCAGCCCGGAGTCATGCAGTGAATTCTCCAATTAAGTGAGAGATATTAACCAGGAGAGATGGATCTGTGGCCCTTCAAACGTGGCTTGAACTATGAACCCAGCATTTTAGTTGTTTTGTTTACCGCATTTATCGCTCATCTTTTCCCTCGCACCTCAAGGCAGCCGAGCTGGAAGTTGAGCCTCAGCAAACTGCAAAGTGAGAGGAGGAGCCAACCAACCAGCTTAAAGAGAGCAGTTGGCCCGCCCCCTTTCTTTCTGCGGCACGCTGATTGGCAAGTTGTTTTTTTTTTTTTTTTTTCATTCTCTCTTTTGAGGGAATGGGGGAATATGGCCAAATCAGAGGCGGCTCGGAATGAAGGATGAGCGAACGGCACTTTAAAAGGGCAAGTTGCCCGGAAACGAAAGGTCTCACTGGGACCAACTGACCCAGGACCGTGGTGGTTTGGGGAAGGGAGGGTGGGAGGAACTGATCCAGCCATGACATGTCGATGCAAACTTGCACGCGGTGGCATCCTTTGTGCACTGAAATCATTCCAATGACATCATGTTGGCATTGTTGTGGCTTCCTTGTGTGCGCTTATTGTCAGGGAATCTCGGCTTGTTTTCGAAGATCAAGCTGCGTCTTGGCCATCTGCTGCCCTGGCCTGATCTGTGGGGATGCTGATGGGCTGGGTGGGATAGATTTAGGCAGGCAGGCTCGGACGCCCAGCCTCCCAGGAGTATCAACGGGGCAACGCGTTGCCTGACCGAAAGCCGCAATGAAAAGAAGCGACGCTTGCCGCTGAGCGACCTCCCCCTCCCCAAAACCGGGTCCCCTTTTGCGCAGGCTCAGCCTGTCCCTCCCTCCATCATCCCCGGAGGAGCATGCCCACCGGAAGTGCAGCGGCAGCCACTAAGACAAGGTGGCTGCGCTCGAGGCTGAACTGGGGCTCTCCGCGCGCCAGAGCTGCTGGGGCGCCGTCGGGGAAGTCCGCGGCCAGCAGCGGGAGCAGGAGGAGGAGGAGGCGAGCCCAGCCTTTCCGCGGAATCCAAGAGCGAAGCAGAAGGTACCCGACAAGAGGAAGGCGCGATGCTGGGGGAGCGGCGGCTGCGGCTGCAACCGCGCGCCCCGGTCTGGAGAAGGAAGGCACGCGGGAGTCGCTCCTCTCCCTGCAGCCTTGCCGGCCCGCTCCCGTCTCCCCGGGGGCCGTTTTAAAGTTTCGGGATGGCCGCCCCGCGGATTAAGCGGGAGTCTCGCGTTCCAGCCGGGCTGCCGAGGAGAAGGGAAAGCCCTCGGCGCGGAGGGTGCCGGAGAAGGCGGCTCCGCTGAAGCCAGCCTGCCATGCCGGAATGGGGGCGCCGGGCTTGCGCACAGCCTGAGCTCGCCGCCGCCGCCGGGCGGGAGGACGGCTCTGCGGTTTGGGAGCGAGGCCGAGGAAGGGAAAGCGAGACGGGAAGGGAGCGGGGTAGGGATGTCGCTGAGGGGAACATGGGTGCAAGCAAAGGGGGCTCCAGAGCGGGAGTTTGTTTTCTGGGCGAGAGGAGCCCGGCAGGGCGAGACGGCGGCGGCCGTTGAAGAAGAAGCCGCCTCGTCCCCGCCCCTGCCATAGCTGTGCCTGAGCGTCGGGAGAGAAGGGGGATTGTCTCCGGCCCTGCTATAGATGGCGAACTCCAGCGAGCTGGGAAGCAGCAGCAGCAGCAGCAGCCCACACCTGCCTAGCCCCGGCAGCCTCCTGGGTGCCTCTGGCCTGAAGCTGGCCTCCCTGGGCTTCATCCTTTGCCTCAGCCTTGCTGGCAACCTGCTCTTTGCTTGGCTCATCCTCAAAGACCGCCACTTGCACCGGGCCCCTTACTACTTGCTCCTGGACCTCTGCCTGGCGGATGCCTTGCGCTCCCTGGCCTGCTTCCCCTTCGTCATGCTCTCGGTGCACAGCGGGGCTGCCTTCTGGCCCCACGGGCTGCTCAGCTGCAAAGTGCTGGCTTTCCTGTCGGTGCTCTTCTGCTTCCACGCCGCCTTTCTGCTCTTCTGCGTGGGGGTGACGCGCTACATGGCCATTGCCCATCACCGCTTCTATGCTAAGCGCATGACCGGCTGGACCTGTTTGGCCGTGGTGTTCATGGTGTGGACGCTCTCCATGGCCATGGCCTTCCCTCCTGTCTTTGATGTCGGCACTTACAAGTTCATCCGTGAGGAGGAGCAGTGCATCTTTGAGCACCGTTACGTAAAGGCCAATGACACCCTGGGTTTCATGCTCATGCTTGCCACGGTCATGGCGGCCACCCACCTGGTTTATGGCAAGCTCCTCTTCTTCATTCACAGCCACCGCAAAATGAAGCCGGCCCAGTTGGTGCCGGCCATTAGCCAGAATTGGACTTTCCATGGGCCTGGAGCGACTGGTCAGGCAGCTGCTAACTGGACAGCTGGCTTTGGCCGGGGTCCTACTCCTCCTACCTTGGTGGGCATCCGACAAAATGCTACTCATAGCCAGATCAAGAGACTGCTGGTCTTAGAGGAGTTCAAAACGGAGAAGAGGATTTGCAAGATGTTTTACATGATCACCCTCCTATTCTTGCTTCTCTGGTCTCCCTACATTGTGACTTGTTACTTACGTGTCTTCATCAAAGCCAGCACAATCCCACAGATTTATTTGACCATCTCAGTCTGGATGACCTTTGCCCAGGCAGGAGTCAACCCCATCCTTTGTTTCATTTTCAACAAGGAGCTTAGAGTCTGTTTCAGATCTCACTTCTTTTGTTGCCAAAGCATACAGAACACTCAAGGCACAATTCTGTGTGATCTGAAGAATTTGAGGATATAATTCATCCCCCCCCCCCCAAAAAAAAAAGGAGAAGAAAAAGTTTAAAATGTCTATGCTTATTCTGGCATGTGCACTTGCTAATGATTATCTAAGCAAACCTCTTGGCCTCGGCCAAATCAGTAGTTTAAAATAAGGTATTTATATTCAGATTTGATCTGAGGGGGGGTTGGGGAATCTTTTCTGTGTCTCTGGAGGGTAGGAAAAAAAAAACAAGACAAAGTCAATTTTTTCCCGTCTGTTCTGAATTTCTACAGATAATTCTGACATGGATTAAATGCCATAATTTTGTGTTAATTTTTCTTCCCAATCTTGCCAGTTTTGATAAAGGTTTAGCAATTTTATTCCTTAAGTAAAATTTGATAAAAAGGGCAAGACAAAATTTTGTAGTAAAATTATTTTTTGATGACTTCAGAATCTTGTATTGTAATATTTGTCTTTCAAGGGCAGTGGAGATGGAGAAAGTCACTTCCTTGTGGGGAGACTTGGGGCTAATTTTGTTTCGGTACTTAAAAGTAACTTTCTGGCCTTGCCTGAAATATGGATACTGTCTTACCCTGATTTTACTAGAATCATTAGGTCATTTCCTGCTAACCTAATGAACATTGTGTCACCTGATCTGATGTAGAACTTCTTTAAACTTTCTTGTTGTACTGTTTCTTTGATAGTGTTTCAGAAACCTAATGAAAAATGGTAATTTTAAAAGAAAAAAAATGATCAACTTTTAAAACTGTTATCAGGTTTTAAAATTATAGTGACTTTCATACTTTATTGGCTTTATAAGTTCCTATCTACAAACTGGACAACACTTGTATATTTCAACTGTTTTAATAAAACACTCCAGTTTTTGTACATACATGAATTTAAATGTCTGGGTATGCTTTGCTGCCTTCTCTTTAAATAAGCAGGATTTGCCTGCAGACCATTCAAACAACATTTTTTTTAAAAATCACACCTTAGATCACAATCTGAGCCCATAGGACCATCTCTTATTTTAGAAAGTTAAGTAGGATTACAACTAGTTGAGACTTGGATGGGAAATGTCCAGAAAATCTCAGGGTGTTGTCCACAATATGGAAGAAGGCAATGGTGGACTACTTCCTTACACTTGTCCAGGAAGTTAGTGAACCAACTAGACTTTAATTTTTTTCTTCCATCTATCCCAGTATGCTCTCATATGATTCTCACTGGGTTCACAAAATACAGATTTTAAAACAGTTATGTATTTAATTTATGTAGCCACCCATTTCACAAATGGAACCATAATCCAGTAACACCCAAAAACAAAGTACCAAACCACAAAATCCAGTCCAAGAAAAACAGAAGACAGGCATCAAGTGCCAACCTTGTCTAGAAGAGTTCATTTTAAATGCTTTTGGAAAGTAGCTAGAGCCAGGGTTAGTTTAATATAAAAACAGCCCCTTTCATGCCTCAGTTGCCCACACCTCCTCAGAGAGGAGAACCCACACTTCTTGCTTTTCCTGGCAAGTTCAAGTCAGTGGAAGCAATTCTAATGTAGCCCTGAAGGTACTTGGTGCCAAACCATAAAGGACTTTATAGGTTAACACTAGCACTTTAAGTTGCACTGGAAGCTGACATGGGTTCTGCAGCATGGATCTAATAAATTGTGACTGCTGGACAAAATGCAATGACTTCTAAAGGCAGCCTTATGTAGAACACATTATAGTAGTCTAATTGAGTAGTGACAAGGTGACCTAATAAAGAAGTTGTGTTTATTTTTGACTACTTATAAATAGAATTATGTTTTTATATTATAAAGGGAACATTTTGTTAATGATATTTTAGGGCATAAGTAAAATGACTACCTTCTCCCTGACATACATATCTGCCCAATGTAATTTCTATTTAAAAATAGTTGCTCATCTGCTAGTGCCAGAAGAGTCTCTAGACAATTCTGGATTGCAAAATTTAGTAGACAAAGCAATTCCTGTGCATAATTGCTTATCTGTTTATTTGTTTGCACAGTTGCTAGTGTATTTTAAATTTCCAAGCCCTAGCATTTTTAAAGATGCAGATTATGAATTTTTAAAGCTTTTAAAATAACCTTTAAAATGTCCCGATTTACCTTTAGAAAATAAGCTAACAGCCTCTTTTTAAAATCTATTTTTAATACCAAAGAAGCCAAAGGTGTTCAAAACTGAATGATCAAAAATCATACCTCTTCCAGAACTTTCAAAAATGGGAATGTTGCAATGTTTCATAATACAGAACCGACATCATAGTAAGAAGCAATGTGGCTTTTTAAGAAATAAGGAAATGGAAACACATACAATCTGTTTAAAATCTCTTACATTCCTGAATTGTCTTCCTTTTTAGAAAAAGCTCTCATCCCTTTGATTCAAGTGAACTTTCTACTGAAGTTGATGATGTGCTATCAAGTCATTTCAACTCTTAGCACCCACACAGATTTCCTCCCCGGAATTCTACTTTTAATCTGGTGCCTTAGATCTTCCCAGTGCCACTGTCACTGAATTTATTGATTTTATTTAGATAGCTGCCATCTCACATATGTAATTCTGGGCAGCTTATAAAATGAAAACACAATAAAAAAAAGAAGAAGGGAAAAAAGGCAAAAATAACCATACAAGGTTAGAAACATTAAAACAATGCAAACACCATATAATGAATGCACAAGCACAGTCAATTCAGGAACAGTACAACCATTTATAAGGCTACCACTCACCTGATCCCCAGACCAGATAGCAAGCCAGATCTTCAGGCCTTTTCAGGATACCACCCTAACCTTGGGGGAAATGGTAGGTATAGTAGCAGAAAAGTACCTCCTTCTGTATCCTCCAATATTAGGAACCTGCAACATGCCCCTTCAGCCACAGCTGAGGGGACTGCTAGATGAAATTGGGGAGAAGTGGCCCCTCTAATGACCCCCATCATTAAGCTTATGCAAGATTGCAATGTACAAACTCAACCACACATGCTTTTGATAATTCAACAAGACGAGTTCATTAAGCAAAATTGAAATAATGTAACTTCAGATCCACACAAGACACAAAGCTATAAAATGTCGATGTTTTCATATTTCCTGATCTTAATTTTTGCAATCTGTAATCATCCAAAAAGACCATAAATTAATATAAACATGGTTATCGTCTACATTTTAATACAATATTGGGAGGCAAGCTAGACAACAGGACATTGATAGGGCTAACATAATCTACAAATTACATAAATTATTTAGAGGCACTCATAGTAAATTGGAAAACTAAAATGGTTAAAACTCACTAGGTTATGAATGGTCCCAAAACTTCTAGAGGTTAAATATAATTCAAAAATATATTTTATAAAATTGGGACAAAGCAATATTAATTCCTAAAATAAGGTTTAAACAGACAAGTGACATATAGCTTATTAGACTAAAATGCAGTTGGCTAGTTGCTGCTGCAATATGAATCTGGCTTGTATTTTATCTGATGCTGTGCAAATCCAGATTCTTGGCTTAATTCAATAGGTCATTGTTTAATAATGTTAATGTGCAAATGCAGTTAATTTGTAAAAGAGAAAAGAGGCTTAAGAGAGGCATCCCTTCCAAACGCTGTATATTCAATACATGTTTATATGGTTTTCTATTTTTTATTTCATGTTTTTGAAATTCCAAAACAACAAGAGCAACAACAACCCTGCACAACCTGTTTGCTGATAACAAAATCTGGATGAATGCATGTTTATTTAATTCAATTTAGATACTACCTCAATCCAAAGTGATTGGGCAGTTCACAATATAGTCACAGTAAAATGCAATATAAAACAAAGTAGGTTGGAATCTGGTTGTTCTATGCAAAACGTAAAAGTACATTCAACAAGGAGCTCCATCTATCATATTTCATTAGTTTTGATCCAAATGCTGAATATTCAACAGTAGTAAATAAATTGGAACAAAGGCGTCTCTCTATACTTTTCTATTCTAAGTTAATTTGTGAGGAAGCAAGTCTGTGAGGAATTTGCTTTTCATAACTTCTGTTTGGTGTGTAACTATTGAAAGATACAAACTCTTAATCCATGATATAATGCATTCAAGTTTAGAAATTATAAATATTGCTTGTTGAACATAAATCACATTGTATTTAGTACACAGTGAAATTTCCATACACTAGTGTGAGTAAGCATATTTATAATTTCTAAACTTGAATGCATTATATCATGGATTAAGAGTTTGTATCTTTCAATAGTTACACACCAAACAGAAGTTATGAAAAGCAAATTCCTCATAGACTTGCTTCCTCACAAATTAACTTAGAATAGAAAAGTATAGAGAGACACCTTTGTTCCAATTTATTTTGCAACAGAAAACTGTAAACCATATATAATATATAAAACCGCCTTTGGGAAAGGGAGTAATGGCCAGCTGAGGAGGAGAGATGCGGCTCTCCTCAACCCTGCTGGCGGTCTTCCCCCTCTTCACCACCTCTACGGGGTGGCTTAGCCCCGAAACCAGCCGGCTAGGGGTGCTCCAGCGGCGAGCCCAGACTGAAACCGTGCACGATTGTGGATTTCTGTCTGCCGCCGAAGAGACTTCAAGAAGACCAGTCTAGATTACTTTATTTGGCTTGTGGCCCCTTCCCTAAGACAGCAAGGAAGCTCAGGGTTGACCAAAACAGTCTAGATTCACACTTTGACATCTCCAGTTAAATAACATTAAATAAAGAGGACCAAAGAGAAGGTGCTATGAAGAATCTTTTCCTGTCAGTAGACAACATTTAGAAATGGTACAACGTAAAAAAAAAAGCTAGCTTACTTTAATATCGATTTTTTTTTTCTCAACATAATTTTTCAAGAAGAATATCTTCCATGGGATGAGACAGGCAGATAATATGATGAACCTGGAGAAGGTAGGCTCTCTTCCAGGACATAAGAGATATAAGGAATAAAAGAAGAGGAAGCCCAGAGTCTATGAGTGGTGGATACACATTTTTATTTAAAGATAAATGTGTGTTTCAATTTTCAAATATTCTGACATTTTCGGTAATGCTTCGGTGAGATGACTGACATCAAAGTTTAATAATAAATAAACACTAATGGTGGAACATTTTGAGACTTTAGGTTTAAAAACTATAATTCTAGTAGGAATAATATTTTTTTTGAAACAGTGGAAACCTATTATAATTTCTAACCCTTAATTATTTGCATAAATTTTTTATTCACAATTTATTTACATTAATCCAGCACACCTTGTTCATAAAAATGTACCTTTGTGCACTTCTAAATTGTAAAACCTCCTGCTTACTAATGACTCATGTATTTTTCTTTGAAAGCAGTATGGATGTGTCTATGTGCTTGTTCTTTTTTATCAAAACAGAATGAATCACAGATCATACTAGAGATATTAACCCTTGCATCCTTCTGTCACTTCTGAAACAAAAAATAGCATTTTAACACATTGCCATTTTTTGAAGGGAAAAAGCGCTACCTTACTATGCTGAAAAATAAAGTTTTCAGACTGAAATTCGTGGCACTTTTTGACAGCCAGAGAAAGTGGAGTGATTTAATAGCATGCTAGTTCATTCTATCAAAATCCTCAGTCTATTCATCTGTCACCCAGCCTCTAGAAGGCAGATGAAAAGAAAGCAGCTGAGCAGTTTCAATGACACAAGTAAATCAAAGGAGGATTTTATTG